TACATAAAAATAGATATTGCTTTTGTTTGAAAATCAGATGATGTAGGAATGGAAGACTGAGGACAGCATATCAAGTACAAATATACTATAACCCTATAATCCTAGCATGAATACTACATATCCCTTCAATACTGAGAATTATAGATGCACATGGATAACAAATGGAGCGTGAAACAAAGTGGAGCCGATGGATCTTTTCCACACACTAAATGAGGGGGTGGGGGTATTTGAAAAGATGTATATATTTATATAAAAATACAAAGAAAAGGTAACTGATTAAATCATTCTCAGGCAATAGGACCATCCCTACTTCTTTATAAATTCAAAGCATGGCCAACTGGGTATGCAGAGACCCATAAAGGTTTGCAAAGTTATTTGCATAAATCATCTTTGAAAATAATCAAATAAAAATTCTTGGAGGATGGGGTGGGTTGTCCTCTCACTTAAGGCACATGCAGCCTGCAGTTATGTCCAAGGATTACATTTTTTACTAAAATGCATGAAAGAGGTGCAATAGCCGTTTCAACTCTTTACAAAGACGATGCACAAGACCCATTTCCCAAATTTCTTCTAGTTTTCGTTTTTGAAAAGGTGTCACTGTAAACTATCATTTTCAGCATAAAATGAACTATATCTAACTCATCTTTCCAAATTCAAAAAAAAATCAGCTGCTAAATGATCCTTGTATAGAAGTACTCTTTACAACAGAAGTGACAGATTTCAAATCAAATCAGATTTGATTGCGGTACTAACAGTTGGAAAGACACCAAACCAAAAATTTATTTTCATAATACACACCTGTATTTATTGACATCTGTACATTGCACACAGTACACATATTGACCATTGTAAGCTACAGCATATTACCAGGGAGTTTGGTGCATATCTGATGTGTAAATATACCCAAATCTTACATTTGAAAGATGATTTTCAATTCTTTTTTTGTTGATATAAACATTTTCTTTGGACAGTCACATTCACGATGTCTATGCATATTGTCATTATCAAATGCGGTTTGTATGTGTGCAACAAGCTAACGTGTATGCAGGTGTACCTGGTGCTAATTACCTGTGTCAGCAATTTCCCTGTTAGTGCCTATTCCCTTGCCCTTGCCCATAAGCTAACTAGCTCCAAATAACCCCACCCCCTCCTCAGAGGCATTTTCAGTCATTTGAGAAGAGGTACAATGTGATGGGAATGAAGCCTGAAGAGAAATCTGCAACAAAATTATTAAGCTATCCTGGGAATTTTCATAATACCAAAATACTGAAAAGTGAAATTGAGAGGACTCTAAATGTAAAGATCCTTGTGTGAAATAATAACTGTTAAATATCTTAAAACTCCCCATCTTCAGGGAAATCAAATACTGTTGACTTCTATGGCCATTACTAAAATAACAAAGCAAACAAATGGAAAAAAATATACTGTATAAATGTTTATATATAATTTGCTAAATCAAATTATTTGAGTCTAAAATGTGATCAAATAAATAAATATTAAAGGCAAGTTCTATCTGAGAAATTCCTTTTATGCCATAGTTAGAATCCTAACATCATATTCTAAAAATAGCTGACACTGAACAGCATGAGGTAGACACAAGGAGTATATTTTGAAAACAACTCACAGTTGCCACCCAAAAATCATATGATTCACTGAGCAGACTCACAGTTTTCTTGCTACTGTGCCTAAGAATCTTCACATCCCCTGTTCCTCGCTCTTTCCACTCTGCAGGTGTCTCTGAAGTATGATAACGGAAAAGCTTGCATCTCCTGAAATAAAACAGCTTTTTGATAAAGTCATTATTATCACAATTTGAATTCCTATGAAAAAAAATCAAAGCCTAAAATTTTACCAACATCAAATGTTAAAAAGTACTGGGTAAATGACCTTTAAATGTGACTTGTCTTTACAAAATTAATTTGGAAAACTAATCAAATGGACCTAACAGTAAATGAGTGAAACATATTCTGTTTAACTTCAAAATATCTAATCACCAATGGTTCATCCAAATTATTGAAATGCAACTTACAATTTTATCATTTCCTCTTCCTCCTCCTCATTTGTTTTCACCTGTATTTCAGGCAGTGTGACCACAGGTTCAAAGTAAGGATCATGCTCCCCTTCTGCCCCAACCACTCCATCTTCTGAGACATTGCTGGTGTTAGCCACACCATCTCCTTCTGGATCAGTCTGAAAGAAAGGAGGGAAATTCCAATCATAAATTCATTTACATCAGCAGAATGCATTCAGTTCATAAAACTCTTACCATGTTATCTCCAAATTTCAGCAATCCCAGGAAAAATATATGTCTGGATTCTCTAATTCCCTATCTCCATCAATCAATGCAGATGTTTTATACAGTCTTATTTGCATCACTCATTTGAAACAGGCAAAAACTCTTATCTGATTTTGGCACAAATGAGATGGTGGATGTTACATCCAGTTACACCACCCTTCACTTCCCCTTTTCTTATGACTCATCCTCTACCCCTCATTACTC